AATGCCAGAACGCTTGAAAAAAAAAATCCAGCCGTCTTCGCTGAATATCAGCGAAAGCGAACCTTTCGTTTTCCTTCAAAATCGTTCGCCTTCAGGTCGACAGACAACACTCGGTGAAAAATTAAGTAGGCATCGATTTGATTTGCGTGAGTTCTGCCGTTTTCAGCGTCAATCCTGGAAACTTTCCATCAAAATATTTTCTCGATGGTGCTTTGCCGAAACATAAAAGTTTCTTGAAATTGCTGAATGCGCGTCTGATGGGATCTTCATGCGTATGTCGAATAGGCTATCAACGAGTACACGTAAGCCTATGGGAGGAATATATTTGAAAATCTGTGTTTTAAGAATTCGGAGTGGTGTTCATAGTTCTATATCCCGTGACCCTCGTTTTAAATGCCATTTGGTCTGTTCCCCAGAATGAAAAGAATGAAAGCGTGGACTCCCAAGTCCTTTCGTTCGTGTCGCTTTTTTCGCAGGCGGCCCATTCGATGGGCCGCCTTCGTCTGCATCTCATAGGCAGATTTGTGCGGTCGGCGGCCGACGCGTGTGATTCCGTTTTTTTTTTCTCTCTCTCTCTTCTGTGTGCACGCCGTTCGTGACGGTTCCATTCTTCACTTTTCGCGTTTTCGATGCATGATGCTTGCGCAAAAAAAAAGCACGTTCTGAGATCGTTATTTCCTTCACTCGAGGGCAGCACGAGAAAGAATGGAGTTGCCGTCCTTGCCCGGTTGCCCTCCACGCGGAGGCTTCCATTCCTTCCCGACAGAAACAATGCTTCATTCCACCGCGAAAGACGTGACGAGGTGGAGGCCCGAGGTGGAGGCCCGCGAGGGAGTCAAGGATGCTGGACCACACCCACCCTTCACGTTTCACGTGTGGTGAGTCGGGACGGAAGAGAAAAGAGCGGAACGTCTCGTTTCTCTTTTCTTCAATTTATCCTCTGCGTGGAAGCGAAACCGCGAAGGACGGGGTTCCGGCTCCCACTGAAAAATGGATCATCTGGGGGTTCCGGTGACCTCAGCCCGAAAAGAAGGAGAAATTCTCCCTCTTTCGGGATTCAGTCGGGATACGTGCGAGACGTCATCGGGTCATCGAGCACGGTGCCCTTTAAATCGACACTCATTTCGGGCAACAAAAAAACGTTCTGGTAAGAAAGCCGCAGAGGCGCCGTAGCTGCAATCATGGCCGGTGCAGAGACTAAACGTAGCCTTTTTCCCCCAAGGATGGCAGCTTTTTCCTTTTCCCAACAGAAACGAAAGTTTCCCCACGATGTGAAAGGTGTTACGAAACTTCGTAGATGAAGTCTCCCGAAATAACTACGCGCGCCGATAGCACGTGCCACTCGAAACATATTGATTTAAAGGAAATTGGCCCGCACCCCTCAATTTGCATCACACCGGAGAGAAAATCGGCATTTACCTAAAATAAACTGTTGTTGCTCCGTATCGCTTCTACGAGGTTTCGAAACACTCTCTGTCGTGATCAGTACAAAATCAAGAGAAATTTCATGTGAAATCTCTCTGACTAGCTTCAAATGAACTGGATGGGGAAAACTGAATCACGCGTGTGAAAGCTTATTGCAAACTGCATTCGACGTTTTCGCAATCATTTGGATTACTTCCGATTCGGATTCGGTTCAGACCCAAATTTAAAATTCCGGATCTGGTTCCGAGTACTCGCGGGCGGTGAGCCGCAATTTCTCTCATTCTGATAATAATAATAATAAAAAAATCCAAAGAAAAGTGACGGATCACAGATGTGGAACGGTTCACTCCAGCGCACAGAAATCCGCGAAGACGAAACGGGAAAGTGCACGAAAGGCGAAAACATCTCCCGTCGAAATCCCCAGACGCAAAGCCCCAAAAAGGCAAAGACGAAACTCAAGACGAGAAATCGCAGAGGAGAGAATCTTCGTTCCTCACGACGACCGTGTGCCTGTCGATGGCGTCGAGGAAGCGAGCGGCGGTCGCCTTCTCCCAGCCGTTGGAGTTCCACGACCTGGCGATCTGGGTCCGGGCGATCGACTTCACGTCGTCCGGCGCGTCGGTGCCGCCGGGATCCGGCATCGTGTAGGTGAGGAGCACGGCGCCGGATGCGTAGCCGGGCGCGGTCGGGCGGGTGGAGAGGACGAGGGGGGAGGCGCTCGGCTGGGTCAGGTGCTGGATGTTGTGGATCACGAGGATGTGGCCGGCTTCGAAGGCGAACTTGAAGGCGAGGGGGACGTGGACGTTCATGGCGGTCGGCTTCTCTTTCAGGAGGGAGGCGTCGAGGACTTGGATCTGGCGGTCGTGGAAGCGATGCTTTACGTGTTCGGAGAGGGACGAGGCGAGGCAGAAGCCGGTGTGAAGGGCGGTCTCGGGGACGAGGAGGAGGAGGACGACGGGGTTCTTCTGGTCGGGTCGTTCGATGAGACTCAGGGCGCTGCGGACGACGTTCCACGTTTCCCAGGGTTGATTTCGGAAGCGGGACGCCAGGCTTCGGACGAACGCGTCTTCTCCGTTTCGATTCCAGGGAAACGTGGGTAAGAGGAAGGTCAGGAGGATGGACACGAGCACGACCGCACCGCCGTACATCAGGGCCCGCGGGGTGGTCAGCCGTGCGTTCGAACGAGGGGTTTTCACGAGGGTATTTTGACCGGATGCTCGGAGGAGTTCCTTTTGGGTGACGGTCTCGGCCACGGTCGCGATTGCGCCGTCCGTGAACGTTTCGGTGGCGGCCGAAGGGGTCCGCGTCGTGTCGGCACCTATCGTTGACGTTTCTTCGGTGCTCTCGGGCGGAGGCGTGCTATCGTCGCGGTGAGGGGCTCCTCGAGGGCGAGAGGGCGAGGGGCGAGGGGGACGGACTCGATCGGGTGGGGGACTCGGGGGGTGGGGTCCGGCGGAAGGGGGTCGGTGGGGTGACCCTGAAGCGAACACACGCAACGAACTCTCGAGCGAAGGGCTCACTGTCGGCACCGATCGTACGAGCGAATCGATAAAATGAGAGCCGAATGATGGCACTCCGACTGGGAGTCGATGCAAAGCGGAAAAAAGGGAACGCGAAGGATTTCGAAAAGATGCAAAGCTTGCACAAAAGACTGCTACCCATCCAGCAGATTTTTGCCCAGCTGATACCAACTAATGCTAGCATGACAAGGAACGGGACGTGCTTGTATCTGACCCATACGGGAAGAAGAAAAATCCGGGGAAAATGAGTGTTTGAGGTGACTGGATGGACTGCCCACCGCGGACAAAGGTCTCGTCTCCACTTCAGCTCGGGCCGAACTGATCGTGAATCCTCTTGTAGGACGGGGCAGACGGTGGTGCTCTTGGTGATGGGTAGGGTCATGACTGTAGTTACGGGTACGATGGTCGTGATGAACACCCACGGGCGTTCGATTTGGGCTCATCGTGTGCCGACGGGGGTCCGCCGTGTGGCGTTTCCGATGCATCGGGGGAGGGGAATGGGGGTGGAAACAGACTCTGTCGTTTCCGAGGAGTCGATCCTGCCCTGCCCGATAATTCCCTGTGCTTGCGAATTTGGTAACTGCGGGGGAGCGACGGGATCATCCTCAAAATCACCAGAGCAGATATGAAAAAAAAAGTTATCACCTCACCAGCGACGGCTGGTTTCGAAGCCGGGACATCTTGCGAGCGCGAGGATCCCGAAGAATCGGAGGATAGGTCGTCCGATTCCATTTGAGAACCTGCGAATCGGGTCGATCCCGTTGACGCCGACGAGGAGGCGGTCGGTGCGGGTTCCTCGAAGCGGTCGTGCTTCCGGCGCAAGTCTTCCCGGGTCCGCCGAGGATGCTGCAGCCGCATGTACGCCGCTCTGGATTCCATCGAATGTCACACGGCGAATTTATTCCTTTCTCCCAAACACCTTATAGGCGAGTCCGAGTTTTGGGAGGGTGGGGGAAGCGGAAGGGGGCGGGTAAGGGCGTCCAAGGGGAAATTTAACCTAATATATCCTCTTGTCATTCCCTTCGATTCCTTCCTTGGCTCCTGTCTGTTGTACCATTAGGAGGATGGTGCGGCAGAGAGAAGCGATTCTTTTTTATATTTTTTTTTACAACCTCCATTCCGTGCGAAAATCTCAAATTATTTGGACTTTAATTGAGAGGGTACGTACGGAGCAAGTGCAATCTTGCAAACTGGATATAAATATGACCGTGCAGCTTCATATGCACTCAGAAAGCTTATTCAAAGAGAGAGGGGAGAGGTTCGCGGTGGAGCAAGTGGCATTCTAGCCCCTTTGTGTATGCCACTGAGTAAAGAAATTGTGATGGTAAAAGTGTAGCCTGTTCCTTTAGCAACTTCATCATGAAAACTGGATATTTTCCTCATTAAGGTGCACCAGCAGATTCATACGCGAGCTCCTCAATGTCGACTTTTTGCAAGGATTCGAAATGAATAAATTGTCGAGGCAGGCTTCTCAGCCTCCTCATACTGGAGAGAAAAAGTTTTAAACTTTTCCAGAAACACTAAAATGATACATCCTAGCCACAGCCGACGAGATTCTACCTATGAAAACCTATTGAGGGATTTCGATTACGGGCTGGCAAGAACCGACACATATGGTCATATACCGTACATGTAAAGCAACTTGCAAACTGGTATTCAAATTCTCGAATACCTGTTCGAGATTCCCGAGGTTGCCTTGAGTCTGAAAATCAGGCTAAATCCAATCTGAACTTGGAGACTACTGAGGCCATCCGGATGCTTGCGCGAAATCACTAGGTGACAACCGCCGTGGCCCCCAACCTTTTTTATTTGCGGCACATGTGACAATTTTCCACGGCACACCCAGCCATTTACTTACTTTCGATGGGAAATTTTGCTAAACACAGCAATTTGATACGATCGTTGATAGTGCAACTCAGTTCATTTTTCCCGGAGAGAAGGCGTTCCCTCTTGTTCTTGATTGTTGTCGATGCCAATAAATTTTAGGGAGGGTTTTCGAACAGAGCACTATCCGATAATGCAGCTTTATTTACCGGATTTATAATGCATTTTCTCAGAAATAAAGCTGCATTATCAGTGCTGTTCAAAAATCCATCCTTAATATTTTTTGTCAATTCTCAAAGCATACCGGTCGGGAACCACTGGACTACCGTACTGTGAATTTTTACTCTTGATGTACAGATTTCACTTGGGGGATTGGGTCTGGAGAAGTCGTTAGAAAATTTTAATTCCTTCTTGTTGTTGCTTGGAGTTTATTTTAGCATAAAAAGCAATATGTTTTATCCATGCACTTCCAAAATTCCCGCTTGCAGATTTTAAGAATAGAGAAGTTTACCAACAATTCAGTGAAAATTTTTGACAACGAAAATCAGATGGACTCAAATTCAGTCTGCACTTTAAAAAAATGTATACTAGAAGTCCTAGGTTTCAGTACTTTAATCTCTGGACCAATACATTTGATGTAATGGGTACATCTCCCCCAATGAAAAAATTGTGAGGTCAGATAAAAGTTTCTTTTTGAACATCCTACACAAAAGATATTCATACCTGGGGCTACCATTTGGGAGATCCCCAATTAATTCAATTCCAAGGCTATTGCCTATGTACAATAGATTAATTGGGTCTGAAGAGGTCAAGTCATTCTCCCTTGTTTCCTGGGTGCATAGTCAGCCTCTGAAAAACTGGAAGGGAAAGGAAAACATCTTGACCCCATTTCTGATGTCTACGAATTTATCTAGCATCAGTGCAAACTCACTAGCACCATGAAATGAATCTCAAGTGCAGTCTAAGGAAGAACCACTTCCCAGAGAGGGCATGGTTCAGATACATATAAATCCCTCATGTCTTGGTAAGTGATTCTTAAACCCTGATGTCTTTGATCTGTGGTTTCAAGGATGCGATCCCACTTGAAACGTACTCTGCTTGTAAAGATGAACCTTAGAAAACTAACAATAATTGCTTTTTTCAGTCTGAAAAAGTAGGTTCATCAACAGAGACAGAAACACATTCATCACAGGACCTTGAATATTATACTTTATTCAAGCCTTAATGGCATACATCCTGGGAGGGAAATTTCTCAGTTTCCTCTCTTCCTTCTTCGTACGCTTCGTCATCTCTTTCCTCGTAAGAGCACGTCGCAGGGCCCTGGTCAGCTTGGGCCTCAAGTCCAAGGGCTTGTACTTCTTCTTTGCATAGTATTTCCGCAGATTCTCCTTCTGCATTGTATTCATGACGATGTAGATTCGTGCGATGGACTTGCGAAGAGTACGTCTAGGGGTAAAAAGGAAAATGTTAAGATGTGATGCTATTCTTCCATTCTTCAGAAATTTGTACTTGTAGCCAAGGGTTTGAGTCTCATCTCAGTTAACATTTAACATACTATGGTTAAATTGATTGGCAAATATAGGACTCCTTGTTTTGGACCATGTTAGGCTTCTATGCAATTGCAATCTGTCAAATGCCATCCAACTAAATTTCAACCAAATTTGACTGATACCAAACTCAAAGTAGGCTGTTGTTAATATCTCACTCCTAAAAGCTGGCCATCTTGGGCCAGTAAATTGAATGGAAGCTTATCTTCATATTCAATGCAGAGATTTTTCATCTTGCAAGACAAGATAGAATTGAATCAGAATCCACACTGACTAATGCCTAAATAGTTGCCATTTAATTTTATTGTTTCACTGCAAGCAATAGCAATGCGTGTCAGGAGTCAAACTGAAACACCTCAAGGGCTAGGAGTATCAAGTTGGTTTCAATAAATGTTTTACTTGAAGCATTTGCAGGTCTTCAGTCTGAGATCCATGGATTCATTACTACTGGCCAAAAGCTTATCTTTAGTTAATGATACAAGGGCCAAGTGCAAGACGAATAGAGCACAGAAAAATGGGAAAACATAGTGGCAAGAAATGCTTGAGGCACCCTATAAAGGCTAAGGTAATAAATTAATAGTTGTTTTCTTGGGTTTTTCAAAGTTCTTTTTTAGGTTTAGAAGGAAAGTCTGCTCATTGCTCAAGGATACATGCTGGTACAGTTGATGCAAAGTTGCTATTTAGGAACTAAAATAAATTTTTTAGAGTGGACTATAGCATAAGGGAATTAGCGAGTTAGTTTTAAGTTCATGAATACATCAAGAAGCTCTTGTGAACATCAGAGTCTCACCACCCGAGAACATGGGGAGTCAGCAGTTTCTAGTTAATTCATGAAAATCCCAAGGAGCTGCTGGGAACATCAGCTTGAACCTTGTTATTGGAGAACACAAGAAGTAGGTGTAATGCAAAAATATGGAACAATTATTAGTTCCTTCAATCCCAGGACCATTGGTTGCAACTTGGAAAATAGGGATTTTAGTGATTTCAGTGATTAAAATGAATGGTGGTGAATATGTGATATGGGAGGGTTGCTTTAGCATTTCATCTTTCCTTATTGGATTTCACCAATGATCATTTACCTTAACTCATACTAGCACAGTTATGGTCTAAAGGGCATTTCAGTTGGAGATGAAACAGGAACCTTACATCTTGGAAAGCTTTGAAGCAGCTCCTCCCGTAACTTTTGCAACCCTCAGGGACATCAGCTCCTGTTTCAAGTCCTCCAGCTGCTTCTGAAGTTCATCCTTCTTCTTGCCTCTCAAGTCATGGCACTTGACCTTCCCCTGCAGATAAAGAAATGCTAATGAGTACCCTAACGCCGGGTTTTATAGGACTATAGGCTAACGTTAAAAGGATTAAAGTTAGTTGTCCGCGTCCTAAGAAAGAAGTGCGGCCCTAGGATAGGCTGGGCTCAAAACATCATGCCTAAGGTATATTTAAGCAAAAATCCATACTTACCATCCTTCCAGGTTGACAAGCAGCCGCGTTTCGCAAAAATAACTATACGGAGAGATACCACGACCGCACTCTCTGCTCCGAGAGTCAGAGCGAAGGAAAGAACAGTGCTACAAGGACGATGGCGGTAGGCATGCTGTAGTCATACTGATAAGGGGAACTGAACCATCATGTAAACGCATGTGAACAATTCGTAGCTTTTATAAGTAATTTAAAATAAAAAATGAACCCTGAAAAATAATAATGGGAATAGCCACCAGACAAAGGAAACTGATTCAGACAAAGAGGTTCTCAGAAGTTTTCTCACCCCTGCTGCGTAATTGACGTCATAATATGGCTAGCTTCTGTAGGAGGCAAGGCTACCCTCACCACCCCTAGCCTACAGACCAATTATGTAGCTCACGAAATGAAAGGACGTGGTGGTACGTGTATTACAGAGTTGATTCGGAGGCAGTTCAAAAACCAGTCATTAGTATTTATGAAAAAATACTTCGCGCCTTTTATGTCACGACATTCGCTACGAGTCTTCTCCAGGTCTTCATGCTGACAGGCACCGCAACAATGTATTGCCTGCACAAGTACGTCTCTGGACATGCCATCCATCCATGGATTTCATCATTCATGACGTTAATGCTCGTCTCGGTTCGATACAATTCTTTATTCCTCTGGAAGGCATCGAATCACATGAGAATCATCAGGAAGTGAATGAGAGGATGAGAGAATGGCTAGACCAATAGGCAGGAGAAAATGTCATTGTACACATGCAGCAAAGGTAGAAGGCAGGAGAGGAAGGACATCATGAAAATATATGAAAAAATAACGAATTTTCTGGAATGCACTGGAATTGGCTTACAGCACTATATGAAAAAGAAGTGAGGTTAGTTATTTACAATAAAATATTTGGACAGCTTTTGGCCTTTTTTGCCTTAGGCAAAGGCAAATAAAAGAGAAAGGTAGCTGTTGAGGATTTTCATCCCAATATGCATCAGTTGCTGCAAACTTTCTTCCTCAATTCCTCTTGAGGTTCAGAACATCCATATTCCTGGTGTAGTAGTTATACCTGATGGCAACAGGAGGGAGGTAACCAACTGCTTCATCTTGGGGGATGATACAGCAGCTTTCAATGCTAGTAACCTTACCACTTTAACACTGGTGTCTGTGTCAGGATGACCACACAGGGATGGTCAAAATAGGTACAAGAGGAGGAATGCCTGTTATAGCACAAGTAATTCTGTTGGCATTTTTTAAATTCTTCTGTGGGCAGATCTGCAAGGTCAGTTGAAAGGACTGGTGATGCAGTAGAGTAGCAAGTCCAGGTGACCAGCCATGGTTATCCACTTCTCTTTGTAAGGTCAGAAGTACTTGATAATTAGTGACTGGATTTGTAAATATGAATTTTGGAAAAGCACAGGCATATGTAAAGTTGGGCTAACTTGCACAGCTTAGAGAACTTACTTGAGGTCCATCCCTGCTTTTTGGTTTGGGATTTCAATGCCTTAGCTTTATTTGCTTAGTAATATTCCATCAGAGCAGCTGGTCCTCCAGGGACCATCAGTGGCTATGGCCTCTGAAGGAGGTAGAGTTTAACCTGAGATTCTAAATTCACAAATGCACTTGAGGGACTGTCATTTGTGGAGCTGTGCTCAACAATCATAATGCCTATAAAAGAAACCCAAAAATACAAAATGCTTAGTCCTTTTCCAGTATTTTTTTCTTTTCATTTATGAAACCACAGTCCTATGGATTATCATGACAGGTAAATGAACTGCCATCATCAGGAAGAGGAGATCCATCAATTCCATAGGACATTTTCTGGAAAAAATTGTTTCCAAGTTTTGGTTGCAGGAACAAAACAGCCTAAAAACCATGCCTATCAGAAGAAATGAAATGACAGACACAATGACAAATAGAATTTGGTTCTTATAACACAAGACTCCATGCAGAAAGTCCTCAGAGGGAATGGAAAGCACGCATAACACAGTTGATTTTTCTATACTCCATGCTTCCTCCATTTTCAGCAGCACGAATCACCGGGGTTGTTGCATTCTCCAAGATATGGAGTTTCTTGTGCTACCAGGCATCAAAATTCCTTTTATCACAGAAACAGACATGGGCGCAAGACTCCCTGCAGCACAATAACATCCAATTGTGCAGGTCAGCACATGAAATCCAAACTGATCATCTATAACACGGACTGCGACCAAGAATTGCCTGTGTGGTTTTGATGGGACTTCCAGAGTAGCCCAAGAAAAAAATCACTCACTGTATATATCTTGGAGAAAAAATTTACAGAAGTCAAGGGTGCTGGAGATGTGTGCAATTCACTGAATGCATATACATTTCCAATGCTTTGTTCTAGAAGTCAGACTCTACGGGAATATCCCATTTCTTTGGTGGGAGTGAACGGGTAGTAATGGAAGAAACTCTACACTTGTGGGGAAGTGACTTCTTTATCAGAGGTGGGGGTACTCTCCTTCGATTCGCTTTCTTCTGGGATGTCTTCTAAGATGTCCAAGGGCTCAGCAGGTACCAATGGAGCCCTGTAACTTGCCAGCATTGGCAGGTAAATGATGAAGCCAATGAGAGAAGCCAGAATCAAGAATCCTCCTGCAGTGTAGAAGGAGGCATCATAACTCCCAGTAGCATCTGATATGGCACCTGGAAATTCCACAGATGGTTCAATGAACAAATCCAAGAAATGTTTTATATATTTTGCTTTTCATAAATATGTGGAAATTTGAAACTTGTCCCATGACCTGAAGATACTTTACCCTGATATATTACTAGACATCCTTGGTACAATAATGTGTAGGGAATCTCCTGCTCTTGATAAAAACTGGCTTTCCCCCATGTACCCTGGGTCCTGCCTCAATTTTTTTCAGAAAATGAAAAACAACTTCAGAGATACAGGTAACTTCATTCCATTAACTAGGTTGATGTTTCCCCCTCTCTTTTATTTTTTAAATAATGATCAAAACCTGCCAATCAGCAACACATGTTTATGCCAAGGTTGTTTCATCTTATGAGAAGTGTATGTAAAAACCTCCCATATGGTAAGTATTGAGCTATGAAGACTCAACACAAGAAGGCCCAGAAAATCATTATACCTATAAAAGCTGCAGGGGTCAATATGACCCCAAAGCTATGTTAGGCTCCATGTCTTGCTTGTTCTGAGGGATTCTTAGTCCACAATTAATGTAACCTCTGTTGAGAAAAAGAAGATGAATTCACCATTCAGATTCAGTTAAAAGTTTTTGAATCAATTTGTTCCTGAAAGGGACCATCATTGGTCATTCTGATGTTAACAATCTCTGGACCCATAGAAATCCTTTTTCAGTGATTCCCAGCACTCTACCATTAAAATTGTTATGGTAGGAGTAATTGATGAGGCAAGATATCACATTTCAGGAAAGCACATCAGAGGTATTTGCCTGCTAACAACTCTTTGCAATGTTGTAATTTCACCATACTTAAAGCAGAAGTCTGTTGACAAGTTTCAAATCTACCTGATGCACATTCGTTGAGAAAAGCAAAAAAATTAATTTGTGTAAGCCCCTATGTCCAGGACTAATTTATCACTTTTAAATACTAAGCAGTTCTTAGTGCAATTCATTCACATGTCACCACATGTGACTGCATTACAAGTGCACAAAAAAAGCATTATACCAAGCATGACACAATTCACAGAGGGGGAAGGAGCAATCTCAGGACAACAGGCACAGGGCTCTACCTGCAATAGGAGCACCAAGGAATGAAGAAAGGCCACGGAACAAGAGTAGCAACCCAAAGGCATTGGTCAAGCGATCAATCCCCATGAGCTCCACCAGCATGATAGACGCCACACTCACGAATCCCGCTGCAAGAAGGCATAGTTATTTTATAGGTTTGTCTCTCAATGCTACTTGTATTCACAGATGGCAGCCTCTAACATTGATCCTCATGCCCTTTTTTTTATTATTAATAACTCCTCTGCAAAGCAGTCCACAGCAACCAGACAAAACACAAGAGAAGCTTTTGTTGAAGCCCAAGGTATAATGTAACGGATTCACCTGCAATTGGTGGCCCAATGATACCTCCTATACCACGAAATATGCAGACCAAGCCAAATGCATTGGTCAATTTTTTCAAACCCACTATTTCCACTAACATGATGGAAATCAGGGATATGAATCCAGCTGCAGAAAAGAGACCAACCTTAATCATGTTCCTCCCACAAGAACCAACATCTTCCAGCCTTATCAGATAGGAAGGAGACAACAGAATGGACTCGGGAAGGGATGACTCACCAATGCAGAGTCCGAAGAGTACAGCAACTATAGTGAACCCAAACATCGTGTTACAAAATGGAGTGAATGCCACGGTGATTCCACTGATGAGCAGACACAGATTATTGAGAAGAAGGCAATCCACCCGTGGAAGATCACTCAGCCATCCCATGAAAACTCTACCCAAAGTATTTGTCAGTCCTACAGCTGATAGCAGGAAACAGGCTGTATCCATGTCAATGCCCTGCGTGGAAAAAGGCAAAAACGCCATAAGAATAGAACACAATTTAATACGAACTGCATCGTAAAAGCCTGAAATCACCTTTCCAGTTGCTGCATCAACTAGGTACACAAAGGGGACATAAAATCCTAGCATTCCAAAGATGCTGCTCAACCCAATCAGTAGAAATACAGGATTTGCGAGGAGTGTGAAGTCTGTCATTTCCCGAAATATCTCCACAAAAGAAGCAGGGAGCATCCAGCACAGCGCATCTTTTTCTAGAAGTAAGAAGTTTCATATCACAAAACAGGAATTGCTAAGTGCTATCCTAACATTTCTCTTTCCTTAAGATCCTGACAATGATCCATCAGTACCTGGAGGGACTTCTTCTGGTGGGAGAGTCAGAGTATCAACCATGTCTTTCTCCTGGTGAAGGCTCAGAATAGATGCTCTGTAGTCCTCAATGGATGTACTCATCTGGAAATCTGGAAGCCTCTGGACGCTTCCAGCCAAGAACGTGTCTTTCCTAACAAGGGGCTGCAAGATGTTCGTGATTAATTAATTTAATTAAAATGAGAAAATGATAACTAAACAATTTTCACATCGTAACTTCCTCAGAAAGCCTAAGAGAATCAATGGAACCCACCATGTGTAAAGATCCTCGACTGGCTCGACGACTTCCACCGCCATGGGAAGTGACGCTGATACGTCTTGGGCGAGATGAACATGATGCATTTGACACCTTAGAGACAAGAGAAGGTCTATGGGATAGACTCTGGACAGATGGGATTTTAGGGTGAACGGAAAGATAGGATCCAGGTGGCTGTGCACTGTAGCGCTTGTGCAGGGCAGTTTTGATCTCGTAGAGGGAAGCCGAGACGTTGCGCCTGAGATGACGTTTGCGAGGGAGTGTAGGAGTTGATTGCATTCGGTGTATGTCCTTGTGTGAACCTCCCACTTTTGGAAATGGAAAGTCTGCCTTCACGCTTGAAGCGCTCGAGACCACGATTTTCGGAGTTCCAGAAACAGAGGAATGAATGCTGGAAGTTTCTGCTTTAACATTATTATTGTTATTGTTGATGCCACTGCTGGGCGGGTTCTGAAGAGGAGGGGGAGACGAAACTTTTGAATCTTCCTTTCCTGCTTCCAGCTCGCTGCCGCTACTGCCACTCGTACCAAGAGCGCTATCGCCCTCATCCAAGTTTCTTTCATCTTGCTTCTGTTCGGGGATCGGTTGAGACACGAGTGCCTTTCCCTCTAAGATATTGGGCAGAGTGGGTACTTTCTGCAGTGAGCCAACTGGAGCACTGCATGTCCCAACCAGCTCTATGTGAAGATTCGAATGGACTCCAGGCTCTAAATTCATGAGGAGCTTCGGCCTCTGTTCCCAAGACCCATCTGGCCTCTGGTATGTGAAATATGCAGAGTCACTTGTTGGAAAGTTGACAGGTCCAATTTGCTCAGGGACAGGCTGAAGACGTGCCACTGGTGGCTCTCGCATCAGTAAGCCCACAATCTAAAAAAAAAAACAGAAGGACTTCTCAATGTCGCACCTCGTATGAATGTAGCTATGCCTAGTTATGCACAATTATCACGTAGTCATTGGGCAAACATTCAAATGTACTTTAAAAAGATGATATTGGAAGTGGAATAATGATTTTGATTATCATGACCACATGTCAGATGATGGTAAGGTGGTATTCTCCATTTAAATAAGGATCCATGGTCATCAATACTGTTAAGATGATTTTTTTTATCGTCTCATTATTAATATTTACCATTACTATTGAATATACATTGAAATTACCTATATTGATCAAAGAAACTTGGATCATCCTGATGATCCTGAGATGATAGTGCAAACAAAGCATAATATGTCACACAGACAAAACAAATACCAAGGCACAAAATCTCTACCAAGCAGTTGAGAAGAATGCCAACAAAGATGAGATAAGCCCCTCTCCATCCATATTCTTCCAGAAGGACGTTCCCAAGAGGAGCGAGTGCGAAAGTGCCAACTCCAGAGCCACAAACTGCAATGCCGGTCGCAAGAGCTCTCCTGGTGTCGAACCAATTACTGACTGCCACGATGCATGGCAGGTATATGAGCCCAAATCCCAAACCTACCACAAGATATGCAAATTCCATGATCAACTGGACGCAAACTCCCCGAGGAAAGAAAAAGAAGCCGAACACGAACCTCCAAGAATCCCGTAAGTGACCATGAGAACGTTGATGGACGTGACCATGGTGCTAAGCCCAAGTGCCGTTCCAGCGACTACGGTGCCTGCGATGCATACATTCCGGCAGCCAAACCTGTTTGTCAATGCACTGGCAACTGGACCTGGAAGGAAAATTAACTCGATGACAACTTATCCATTGAACACACTGGAGACTGCAATAACAAGAAGAAAGAAATTGAGGGCTGCTAATTGATAATAAAAAATTTAATCTCATTTATCGCGCGCTGTTAGATTTATTATTCAATTTTAATTGATCCATAACTCTGTCTCTGAATCTGGCAAAGTAAACAACTTTCTAATGGCGGTAAAAAAAAAAACATCTGGCACCCTGTCATCTGCCAATTGACGATGTTGACACCATGTCGTTCTCGGCGAAGTAACATGATGAGAGCACATTAGATACCGCTACATCACCCGACTTAATCGATCTAGTCACGGTTTCTTATTACTTCAAGGGTACGACAAACAATGAATAATGTATTATCTAACTCACGTGTAACCTTTTAGAGAGGAGATTCGAGTACCTATTTGTATTCAATCAATCGATGTATTTTTTTAATTGGAATTTAAACTTTAATTGATTAATCATTCTCTAATCGGGTGGGCAGCTCTTCCTAGAGCTCTTAAATAAAGAGAGAGAGAGAAAAAAAAAGTGAAGAGTGAGCAGGAATCTCACCGACGCTGAGATAAAACCCCGAGAGAATGCTTCCAACCCATGAAGTTTTGGCCTTGGACTCGTGGAACTCGAGGACCAAGGCAGGAAGGAAGATTCCAAAGCAATACGCAATCCCATCGATGATGGCATTGGCAGCGAAGGCTGCGAAGACGATGACCCAACCGTATCCCCCGTTGGGGACGTCGGGGACTTCGATCGGCTCCTCCTCGTCGACGGGAACGGCCGGCGTCCCGAGTTCTTTCTCTCCCGGACTGAGGACTTCCCGTCCTCCGGTTCCCACGCTCCCGGGACTTCCGAAGGCTACACTGGATTTCTCCGAGTTGGTCTGGAGGGAAAACAAAGTTTGCCGGATGAATGGCAGGAAAAGTTGGGCTCGTTCAGTCTGGATGCAGGCAAGGCGTCGAGTCGAGCTCAAAGCTCGATATAGTACGGAACACGGTGTACTCGAAAACGCCGATTTCCATATTCCGAAATCACAGCAGCCAAATTTTCTTCTTTCGAGGCAAAAATTTGCATTTAGAATGCTAATCGCTCCTGATCGCGGATGAAAAATTTTGGGCCCGAAGCGCCTCCTCCCCTCTACCTTCATCCATCATTCAAGAGCTCCAAAGCGGCGATTTCGAGCTCTATCGATCTCGATTTCCGAGGGAAAGGAGAAAACTTTTTTTTTTTCCAGACCGAGATGGAATTTCTCTCGTGCATTCTTTGCGTTTCGCGTGCTGAGACAAATTTCTCGGCGATCGCGACCAGTGACTCTCAAGCCTTTCCAAGAAGTCGTTCGATTCCGCATTAAATCACGAAGTCACCGATGCGATTCGATCCCAAGATTCGAATCGTGACGATGAACCGCTCACGTCCGAACCGGCATACCAGAATCCTGAACTTACATCTCCCATCTGAGGATATCTGATGCTTGCACATCCGATCTGTAACTCTGATATCAGCATGCAATTCGCGATTTTCGACCACGATGATCATTCCACAAATCAAGTCGTACGACTTCACCTGCCAACACATGGTCCAAACCAAATTGCAAAACCAGGTTGTCATTCGTGACAGACTTCAAGTCGGCCCCCCCCCCCTCACCCCTTG